CCCAAAAAAAAAGAAAACAAAAACCCCCACAAAAAAACAAACAAAAGCTTTTCTAAAAGCGTTGAGCATGTGAATCCAAAATTGTGCTCAGAGTCAGTGGGTATTGTGCGTGAAAACGTCATGACAGTGTTTAGTTTCACGTACCCCAAACACGCTTAGCTAAAATGTGTTAATTGTATGGCTTCAAAAACTGGACCTGAAACCTAATAACTTCTCGTTCACGATCGTTCAGCGAGGCAAACCTATAGTCTATGATGGTTAAGAACTACTATCTTTCTTTAACTCTTTAAGGACAAAGCAGACAAATGTCCGATCAGCAGCAGTAGACCACAAGCGACATATTTCGAACCATCATACACAAATCAGAAACGCAAATGTGCTTATTTCATTGTATGTACGTTGTTGCACGCCCTTTTAAATCTTAACTAAAGGAAGTAATTGCAAAATCTGTATGAATAGAATCTAACAAAAGTAATGTTTCTCTTTGAAAGTGCTCCGAAAAACTGGATCTTCGAGCAATGCCGACCGACAAAAGTGAGCGTCTTCACTGAGTTAAACAGACCCGCCTGGTTCTTTGTGCTTAGATGAAAGAGGGCGGTCAGTGAATGTACTACTTTACAAGTTGAAGGGCGTTATTTCTTTTATTCAGTCTATTTATGGACACTATATCAGTTTGTTTTATTAAGGAATCTAGGTTAGCGGGTTGATCACTGACCATTTTCAGGTAATGAAACTGGGATTCATTTGTATTATTTCTTTATTTTGTTCGACAGTGTACTCACCGTTGTAGTACTTAAGGTCACGCAACTAAAAACAAATCTCAGTCTACTTCTGAGTTTTCCCAAACAATAGTTAAACAATTTTATATGGATCAAATTAGACAAACGTGACAAGAAAAATCTCTTCCAGAAGTTCCATTTTCTTTGGTTAGTAATGCTACAGGAGCGCAAACATATACAGGGAACTTGCTGTTGAATAATTCCAATGGCTTTTTTTCTGCTAGTTTCGTTGAAATTGACATGTTGGCATTACTGAATATTGTGTTTTTTTCCTTCTCAGTCCTCTTAAAATCGCACTCTCTATCTCAAACAAACTGCGTGATTCTTTGTTTTTCTTGTGCGAATCTGAGCGTATAATCAAAGTAAAGCGTAGTCAAGGTAAAGGTTAGTTGAGGTCTCTCTTCTTACAATAAATACAGTAGTATATACTATACTTTTTTGTTACAAATGAATTTGGTGTTTTTGCTAGATAAGATACTTCACATTTCGCCTCCATTTCAGTTTTAAGAGCGAAATTAAATCACACATTTCGCTACAGTTTGTCCCCAGATATGCAAAAATTAAAATGTATTAATGATTTCTATAGGCCAGCGTGGGCGTATTTCGTTATCTATTAGCACAGGTAGCTCTTTGGCGTCTTTCACCTTTTCACAGGGGTATCAGTGCGTTTGTAACGGCGTAATTGCTGTAACGTTTATAAGATCTTTGGTGGTCCAAGCGAAAGCTAGGTTCCCTGTGAGGGGAAGATACTTTATCGAGTTACTCCCTTATGATGGGGACACCGCGTGGGAGAGGAAAAGGCACTACGCAAAGAAACACATACAAAAAGAGAAGAAAAAAAAGTGAGCAAGAAAAATAGGTATAAGGAGATAGCATAAAACTGAAATGAGGAGTATCGAGAAAGAGAGAGAAAGAGAGAGAAAGAAAGAGAGAGAGAGAGAGA